GGATGCTGGCGACGAAGCAGCCCAGGCTTCTGGCCTCGTGCCCCCTGCCCAGCTGCCCCCTGCTGCCGCTCTCTTCTCCCCCCGCCCTCTCCCGCTGCCCGCTCTCCGCTGCCCCCTCGAACTTCCGCCCCCCGCTCCCCGCTGCCCCCATCCCGCTCCCTGCTGCCTCCCTCGGCGCCCCCGGCGCACTCCTCGCTCGCGTTTTGTACCCGCACGACCACTGGTTCTGCCGCTGTTCGAGCCCGCCTGCACAGCGCGCCCCCGGCCAGGCGCGAAGCGGCATTCCAAAGCCATGCGACAAGATAACTCTAGTGTTAGGTCGGGCCTGTCGCTCTACAGGCGGATTTTGGGCGAAAATAATCTACAGATCTACATATATATATATATATATGTATATATCTATGTATATAGATATATCGCCCCCGGACTATTTGATTGACTACTTTTGCTATTCCCCCTGTAGAGGGACATGCCCGACTTGACTCGAGTGTACACCAGCATAGCTGCGGTCGTTGCCGACGCAGCAGCTACAGCTAGTGAGTGTGTTCTCCATGCCGATGGATGGTATAAGGATCCACAGCACAACCACCATCATCAGCATCAGCATCAGCATCAGCATCATTATCTTCATAATCCTCACCATCGCTACGATCAGCATCAATTTCTGGAAACCTGTCCTTCGGGGGCATGCCGGCTAACGCAGGAAGGTCTGCCGGCCCATCAATGTTGAACATGATTTAGGAAACGGCGAAGACGAGAAAAGAAAAACGAGGAGAGAGAGGCAGGAAAAACGGCGCTCACCATCGCATCGTAGGTCTGCGCCTGGAAGCAGTTCTTGGAGGTCAGATCCGCCGTCGTTCGTTCGTGGCTTTACGGGTGGCACACCAGCCACAGAATGCACGACGCGCACGTGTTCCCCTGCTTGTTTAGCTATGGTTTCGCGGATGCCCAGGACTCTTGGGATCACTATTGTCTGCGCCCACGTTTTCTTCGCGCCGCCATTGCCAGTCGCAGCATGGGTGGCCGAGTGGAAGGAGGCCTATTCCACCTAGGTTTAGGCGCCCCGTTCCGCGCGGGTGTCTTCCATCTTGTTTCTGATACCACATGATGAACCTAGGAGGCCGCATGCCCGACCGTCCGGCAGAGGGCCAGCTTCGGAAGTATAGTGCCACTTGAATTCTTACAGCTTCCTACGGCTACACACGAGCGAAGGCATTGACACCGGCGCGCTCTTAGGGCACGCGGATCATCGTCATCCATTCCGTATTTTTCTTCCGTTGCCATGATTTTCGTCCGTTTGCCTTCCCTCCTCTACATCCCCGTTTTCCTTTCTCCTCCTTCTCCTCCTTCTCATCCTCACTCCCCTCCCATCCTCCTTCCATCGCCTCCGCAGGTATCTCTAGGGATCTCTGAAGGCTCCGTGTGCGGGAGGAAGAGGAGGAGGAGGAGGAGGAGGAGAAGAGACTACGTAGGTGGAAAAAGAACAGGGTAGGTGCACCCGTTCCTGCCTTCCCACCCATTCCTTCACAGTGCGCTGGATTGGTTTATGTCCGCTGGTTGGGTGTCCTGGACGGCATCGATCTTTTAAAATCACCCAATCGTATCTAGGCGACGGCCAGCGATGCGGCGAGAGCGCTGGTCCAATGGACGGAGGCCCTATGGAGACCAGCACATGTGTCACACGCTGCAGCTGGAACACCAGTGGCGCTGGTACCCACCATTGCGACGATAGCGTCGTTCCCTTGGACGGAAGATCGACGGAAAGTCGCAAGCGGAAGCATTACTTCCATTGATGTGCGAGCATGACCAGCGCTACGGCGAGAACGTCGTTCCGTTGGACGGTGGCCATCTGGAGATCACTGCATGTGGCAAGGATCGGGAAACATGTGTTCCAATGAAGGTCAGGGGCAATCCTGCGCATGCAAACTGGAGAAAATTGAGGACAGCGTCAGGGGAGAGAGGAAAGCCGTTCTCAGATTGTGTAGTCGTCAAGGGAGGAAGTGGGTGGACGAGGAGGAGGAGCAGTAGCAGCAGGAGGAGGAGAGTCTTCCTCCTCCTCCTCCTCCTCCTCCTCCTCCTCCTCCTCCTCCTCTTCATCCTCCTCATTATCCTCTTCCACCTCTCCTCATCCATCCTTTCCTCTCTCAGCATCGCCCCCCTCACTTCCCTCGTGCTCCGCCCAGCGGCCTTTGGAGGCCACTGGAGTCCCAACAGCTGATCCGACGTTTGTTTCCATGACGCGGGGCCCAGGGAACTCGACCTGTTCCCTGGGCCAGCCCTTCATCTCGAGCCAGTTTGACGTTATGTGTCCAGGTAGCCCCGTGCATTGCGGAATTTGGCGCGCGCCGAGGGGGCATTCGGAGGCGTCGGCAAGCAGACGGCAATGCAGAAGGCGTTCTTGGAACAGTCGTTGATCTCGTGGGGGCACCGCTACGGCAGGGCCCCTGTCGAAGTAGCCATAACGCTCGTGGACGTTGGGGATCGCCGAACGGGCGCTCGTCAACGACGGCGAGGTCAAGGAGCTCCTGGAGCGGGCGTTGAGTTCCAGAAGCGCCACTGCAGCAGGGAGAAGGAGCCCCTGGAGCGGACGTTGTGCATTCAGGAGCGCCGCCACGGCAGGGACCACTCCAAGATAGCCCCGACGTCGAAGGACGCCGCGCGCACCGAGGAAATGCTGCGCAGCGCCGCAGGCAGGCGGAGCTTCCGGAGCGGGAATGGGAACGCCGAGGGGGATCTCGGCAACGTCGGCAAGCTGCAGGAGCTCCATGGAGCGGGCGCAACGCCTCCTGCAGGGGAGCGAACAATGACACAAACATAGAAACTCGGAGCTCCGCGCGGATTCCTCGGATCCGCGCTGGAGACCCCCGCCGCCAAGGGGCTCCAGCGTGGATCCGAGAAAAATCCGCGCGGGCCTCCGAGTTTGTACGTTTATGCCATTCTTCGTTCCCCGATCCTGGACAGCCGCTGCAGCGTGGATCGCGCCAGGGCAGCCCTTGCGCTCAGGCATGCGGCGCGCGCCAGAAGAGGCTCTCCTGGGGCGGGCGTCGAGCACCGAGGAGCGCTGCTCCCGTGGACGACGACGACGACGACGACGACGACGACGACGAGGACGACGACGAGGACGACGACGACGACGACGACGACGACGACGACGACGACGAGGACGACGACGAGGACGACGACGACGACGACGACGACGACGACGACGACGACGACGACGACGACGACGACGACGACGACGAGGGGGAGCTCGCTCCGGGAGCGGACGCCGAGGAGAAAGCACGGCCCGCTGCGCCGCGCCGGGCCCGCCTTCTCTCCGCCTGCAGGGGCGCCGCGCGCGGGCTCTCGCGGACATATCGCGCGCGGCCGAGCACGCGGAGGACGGAGGCGAGGGCGAGAGGTCAGTTAGCGCCAACCATCGAAGAAGAAGAAACGGTATAAACATAAATGTTTGGCGCTCCGCTCGGGCTTCTCGTATCCGCGCTGGGCCCCTCCGGCGGCGCCTCCGGCGCCGCCCCTGGCGCTCTCCGCGCGCCAGGGAGGGGGGTCCTGTTTGGCAAGATCAGCGGTCGCGCAAGCAGGCAGCGAGGCTGGCCACCTGAGGCGTACGAGGATGAGTACATCGAGGTCTGGGGCCAGATCACCGTCTGGAGTTTGATATTCATCGGGCCCGCCTCTGGGTCCTAAGCTCACCGAGCGCGTTCCAATACTCGCAAAGCGTCTACTCGCAACCGTCCGAAAAACACATGCCTTGCTCCACGTAATGTGTCGCAAATCCCCCGCGGCGGATCCAGACAATTTGCGAGCAGTCACTTTGCGAGTCGCGGAACGTGCTTTTCTATAAGCAGGCAACATCACCGTGGAGATCGCGATCCTCACAGAATGACGCTTGGAGGCGCTCCAACAGGAGAGTTGGGGCACTAGCGACATCTGGACGGCAAGAGCGGAGCAGACGGCTGCCTGGGCAGCTCCAAGGGCCTCGCAGCTGCGGGGCGACTCCGGCCTTGCCGAGCGGCAGCGCCTCGGCGGCATCGACATCGAGGCGCGGCCGCTGGCGCTGGCCGAGTCTGCGTCGGAGGCGCGCCTGCGAGAAGAGACCGGCCAGGAGGCTCTCCAAGCCGCCGAGCTCCACAAGGGGGTCGCCGCCGCCACCCGCGCCGCAGCGGAGAAGGACGCCTCGGCCCCCAGCGCGGCCGCCGAGTATTTGTTGCAGGTGCTGCAGCAGGAGGTGGCCAAGGTCGCCTGCGCCGCTGAGCATGGCTCACGCTCGGTCGAGAAAGGACCAGGGGGGAAGGGGCTCGACGATCGGGACCCCCAGGCATTCGAGCACCGAAGCGGCCCTGACCGGGACGCCCAGGATGTCGCCGCACGCGCCAGCCTTCAGGGGCGCGCCGGCGACTGCCATGACCGCGGGCCCTTTCGCCTCGCCGCCCTGGAACCAATGGCGGTGCTGCTCACAGAGGGGAACCATGCCGCCGCACGCCGCAGCCATCCCCCGCTCGTCCCCCCTGCGCAACGAACGAGTCGTCTACGAACTGGAGAAACGAGACAGCCGCGGCAGGAGCCCCGGCCGCGCCGAGGCAGACGGGGTGGGCGGTCGCCGCGCACGCGTCCAGCAGGCCCCGCACGAGGGCCCCGAAGATGTCGGTGCCCGCGCGCCTCCCCTGGGCCCACACGGGGCCAAGACGCGCACGGACCTGCTCCTCCCCCGTAGAACGTCCGCGGCCAACCAGGAAGGCCACGAACGCTGGCGACGCGCAGCTGCACCCGTACAGCTGCCACACAGCGTCGCGGCACGCGAGGTCGCAGCCGTAGAGGAGGTCGGCCTTGAGGAGGAGGGTGCGGAGCCCCGAGGAGGAGGAGGAGGAGGAGAAGGAGGAGGAGGAGGAGGAGGAGGAAGAGGAGGAGGAGGAGGAGGAGCAGGAGGAGGAGCAGGAGGAGCAGGAGGAGGAGCAGCAGCAGGAGGAGGAGCAGCAGGAGGAGCAGGAGGAGCCGGAATAAGAGGAGGAAGAACAAAGACGCAACGACTCTAGGCAGCCAGCGCTTGTCCAACGTACCAAGGAAGAGGATGAGGAGGAGGAGGAGGAGGAGCAGGAGGAGGATGAGGAGAGGGGGGAGGAAGAGGGAGGATGAGGATGACAATGAGGATACGCATGAGGAGGAGGAGGAGGAGGAGGAGGAGGAGAGGAGGAGAAGGACGAGGAGGAGGAGGAGGAGGAGGAGGAGGAGGAGGAGGAGGGGAAGGAGGAGGAGAGGAATGAGGAGGGAGGAGGAGGAGGAGGAGGGGAAGGAAAAGGAAGGAGGAGGAGGAGGAGGAGGAGGAGGAGGAAGGGAGAAGGAAGAGGGATGAAGGACGAGGGATGAGGGATGACGAGGGCGAGGAGGAGGAGGAGGAGGAGGAGGAGGAGGAGGAGGAGGGGGAGGGGGAAGAAGAGGAGGAGGAGGCGGAGGAGGAGCAGGAGAAGGAGGGGAGGAGGAGAAGGAGGGAGGAGGAGAAGGACGGAGGAGGAGGACGAGGAGGATAAGGAGAATGAGGTCAACCACTGGCGCGCGAGCCTCGCCTTCCGCTCCCATGCCCGCGATGACGTCGGCGGTGCCGCCTGTGCAGTGTGCCCCGTGGTGCCCGCAGGTGGCCGGGCCTTACTCCCGGCGAGCGAAGGGGAAACGGACTACTTTCATGTAGCCTCGGGCATGCGTCCCAGTGTGCAGTCGGGGCGCGCACCAAGAAGCCATCTGCTTGTCGCCAGGGTATCCTAGGTTTCTTCGCTCCGCGCGCTGCGCGGTGATTTCCTGCGGCCGCCGAAGAGGCTGCTGCGTTCAGGGTGCTCCGGGTTGGGTTCCTTGCGAGGGCGTCTTGCGGCCGCGCCCGCACCGTAGGAACCCCATGAGCACAAGCTTTCGGAGGTCCGCGCGGATTGCTCGGATCGGCGCGGGAGCCCCCTCGGCGGCGGCCGCCCCTGGCGCGCGCCGCGCGCCAGGAAGGGGGGGGTCTGGCGCCGACCACAGAGGTCCGCGCGGATCTCTGGAAGTTTGTGTTTGTGTCATTGTTATGTGCCCCATAACCCCTCGGGCAGATCGTCCCCCGCGTGGTGTGCTCTCCTGGACCGTCCCCAGTCCGCCCTGATGCCGCTCGGCCCACTCTACAATTCCCTGGGATCACCTCGGCCCGCCAAACGCGTCATCGACGTCGCTGCATGGTTGGCGAAGCCATCTTGGCACAAAGGCGTGCGGGGACGAAGGGAACAAGATGGTGCGGTAGCAAATGATTATCGCATGGTTGTACCTCGTCGCGGCGCCGTCGGCCCGCAAGCGGGATTTGAACGGCACCGAGAGTGCATTGGAAGCTTGGGATGTTTCAGCCGAGCGATGGGAACACAAATCCGACAGCGTCGTAATCAACGTCAAGAATGTCAGCGCGGAGTGTCCTGCAGCGAAGTCCGTTGACGACTTCTCGGTGAACCACTCTGCCTTCAACCGCCTCTACGACCAGGCGGCCTACACGGCATCCAGAGTTAACCTCTTGCCCGAGGAAATATGCAGCGACGAAACCATGTTCGACACCACTTATCAGGGGAGAGTGATGTAGAGCTTGGGACGCGAGCCTCTTCCTCGCGATGTTTCTGACCTTTACACTCTCCCCAGAGCTGAGCAGCAGTGCTGATTGTGGCAGTTGTTCTTTCTTCTCCCGGCTCGACGACTGCACACTCCACTGATTCTACGCCAGGCCGAAGCCACCGTCATAGCTTAAGTGCGCTACGGCGGGGCATGTCCTTCACTCCATCCCCCCTTTTTTCGTTTGTGTGCAATGAGTTAGAGTATGGCTTACACCTTTCCTTTTTCCCCATGCTCTGGGAAAGAACCAAGCTCCAGCGCGGGGCCAGTGCCCGCGTTAGTTTGACGGCAATGATTTGGGCACGGCCGCCAAGCGTTTCGTGGGGCGGGGTCGCATTTCGATGGCGGTACGCAGCAGCAGGAGAATGAGGGGGAGCAGGACGACGAGGATGTGAGGGAGAAGGAGAATGATGGGGAGGAAGACGAAGAGGAGGAGGAGGACGAGGAGGGAAAGGAGGAGGAGGATGAGGACGGGGAAGAGAAGAAGGAGGACGAGAACGCGGACGAGGAGAAGGACGAAGGGGGGAGGAGGAAAGGAGGGAGAAGGGAGGAAGGAGAAGGGAAGAGAAGGAGGAGGGAGTGGAGGTGGAGGAGAAGGAGGGAAAGGAGAAGGAAGAGGAGGACGAGGACGAGAACGAGGACGAGGACGAGGACGAGAAGAACGAGGCGAAGGAGGAGGACGAGGAGAACGAGAGGGAGAACGAGGAGAAGGAGAACGAGGAAACCTGTGAGGAGCAGGAGCAGGAGCAGGAGCAGGAGGAGGAGGAGGAGGAGGAGACACACGGAGGGGAGGAGGAGGAGGAGGCGCCCATGTGGGTCGGCCAGGCGACGGGGCTCGACGGGATCAGCCAGATCTGGAGGCCCCTCAGCAACCTGCCCGTCGAGTGAGGCCCTTCCAACCCCCCACAAGGGCGGCCGCGGGCCGACCTCTCCGCGGCCGCCAGCCCAGGCGGCCCCCGCCGCGCGCAGGCCCCGGCCGCCCTGTGCCGAGGGGGGAGGGAGGGGGGGGAGGGGGGGAGGGAGGGAGGGAGGGAGGGAGGGAGGGAGGGAGGGAGGGAGGGAGGGAGGGAGGGAGGGAGGGAGGGAGGGAGGGAGGAGGAGGAGGAGGAGGAGGAGGAGGAGGAGGAGGAGGAGGAGGAGGAGGAGGAGGAGGAGGAGGAGGAGGAGGAGGAGGAGGAGGAGGAGGAGGAGGAGGAGGAGGAGGGGAGGGGAGGAGGAGGAGGGGGGAGGAGGAGGAGGAGGGGGGGGGGGAGGAGGAGGAGGGGGAGGAGGAGGAGGAGGAGGGGGAGGGGGGAGGGGGAGGGGGAGGGGGAGGGGGGCACGACTCCCGGGAGGAGGCCACCAGGACGGTCGGGTTTCTCCGGGAAGGCTCTGGGGCCCAGCTGGGGGCCCACTTCCTGGAGGAAGGAGCGGGTGTGTCCTCGAGGAGGACGTGGCGACCCTCCTAATGGTGACCCCCTTGACATTGTCCCGACGGTGCATAAGACGACCCTCCTCCTCCTTGTCCTCCTCCTCCTCCTCCTCCTCCTCCTCCTCCTTTTCCTCCTCCTCTCTCCCTCCTCCCCCGCCTCCCCCTCCTCCCCCTTCTCCTCCTCCTCCTCCGCCTCCTCCTCCTCCTTGTCCTCCTCATCCTCCTCAGCCTCCTCTTCCTTCGGGGGGGTGCTAAAGGTGTCCCTGGTCCTAGGTGCCCTCAGCTTCGTTCTGGTTTGGAGCCGCTGGAGCCCTCTGGGCCTCGTGAGGTTGTCCGGATTATCCGGGGGGGGTCCGGGGAGTTGTTGGATGAGGTTTCTCCCATTGAAGACTAAGACAGTCTCTAGCGATCCTCATTTCGGCAGCCCTTGTGTATCGTCGGATATCTAGGAGACGTCGGGGCGCCGTGGCGCCGTGCTTCCCGCTCCCTTCGGGCCGTTGTTGCTGGCTTTCTTGCCGTGCAGCGTTTTCGCGGCTCGCCGCTCCGAAAAGCCAAGGGGAAGGAAGGAGGAGAGGGAGAGGGAGGGAGAGAAAGAGAGAGAGAGAGAGAGCGAGAAAAAGATAATGAGAGATAGAGAGAGAGGTAGAGGGAGAAAGATAGAGAGAGAGATAACAAGAGAGACGATGACACCCTTGCGGCAGGATGATCTAAACAGCTTTACACAGTTACGATGGGGGGCGACAGGGGGGTGGGTTAGGGGGGCATCGGGATGGGGATAGGGATATGGATAATAAGACAGGGCTAAGGATGTGGAGACATAGGGTTACAGGCATCGGGATCGGGATGGAGATAGGGATAGGGATAGCGATATAGGGATCGGGATAGGAATGAAAGTGATAGGGATAGGGATAGAGATAGGAATAGGGACGGCAAGGAGACTACGGGAGGCCACGGGAGGCAAGGGGAGGCCGCGGGAGACGGGAGGAATTTGGGGGGGCACGGGAGGCAACGAGAGGCAATTTCGCCCGACCGGGTCTGGAACCGAGCAGTTTCATATGAGAGTTATATAGAATTTTGAATGGCAAGTTTTTCAGGGGCAGATAGGGAGGGAGAGCGTGCTTGTGCGGAAATGAAATAGAGAGAGGGGGTAGAGACAGAGAGAGAGAGATAACAAAAAAAAAAAAACTGGCGAAGGACCCCACCAGATGCAGTCGTGAATGCCGCCGTTGTGAGAGCTGCCTTCCGTGGAGCTCTCTATGGGCACGAAGCGCTCGAAGCATGCGCCGCAATGGCGCGGGGCCGCCATGCGGGCGCTGCAGCTGGAGCTTTCAGTGAATCGCTCTTCCTACGGACAAAGACGCTGGTTTCTGTTTGTTGCGGAAACTTGATTTGAATGATTGCTTTACTCGCCTTTTGTCTGGGCCATCGTACCGAGAGTACCGTGCGGGTTTCGAGTTTGCTCGCGCTGTCACATACGATTTTGTTGACGGTGTGAAGGAAGCATGTGGCGTTTTTAGAGGATGACGCCCTGGCCCGAGCCATGCTGTCCGATGTGAGCTTGGAAAGTTGTAGCAATATCATCTCTAAGGTAGGTGCAACCATCAAGACACACAAGCCTGCGGGTAAAGTAGATTTACGCCTGTTGCATTGCAGTGGCCGCACTCCCATGGCCCCTGCTATGCGATGGGTTGCGGATCAGTTGTTGCCAGGTTTGCGATCCATCCCATTCCTGGCACGCTACACCCAACATCTTTTGAACATAATGTCGTCCGTGCGCGTCCCTGCAGGCTGTCATTTAGTCAAGATCGACATCAAAGACTATTTTATGAGCGGTGTCCATTCCGATCTTGTGTATCATGCCTCTGCACTGTTAGATGGTGAGACGAAGGTTGCGTTTTAAATACTCTTGTCTACCATCTTGGATTGCCAATACGTCAGTTGCGATACCAGGCCTGACGTCGTTTGGAAAGTGTTGGTCGGCTCCGGGATGGGAGTCCAGTGCAGCGGAGAGGTTTCGGATGCTGCCTATTTCAATCAAGTCGAACGAGACACCGTTTCCTGCCCAGCGTTTCGCGCTGTTCACAGTATAATCGCATACGTACGGTACCGTGATGACATTTTGCTTATACACGCCGGTTCCCGCGAGAGCCTGGATGAGTGCATCCACGTTCTACGGGAACGCTCCACGGCGTTTAAACTTGAACTGCAGAGCATTGCTCACAACGAAGTTCAGATGCTTGATGTTGTATTTTACTGCGGCCCGCATTGGCAGGACACATAGGTCCTTGACCACAGGGTCCACATCAAGAGATCCTCATTGTGGCTCCCACTGAACGATCGGAGTATGCATCCACCGAGCGTTCATGCAGCTTGGCCGATCGCCCACATTAGAAGAGTTCGCCGCTTGTGTTCTGAATCACATTACGCCAATGCCGAAGTGACCAAATTTGGCACGCTTCTGGCGCGTACCTCCTCTCATCTCGCGCTGATTCCCAGAATTCGTTTTGAACATCACCCGCTATGTCCGGCCACCATTTCTATGCCTAAGTTTCGTCCCTTGTCTCGCATCGTGCTCCCATTCTGCTTCCAGTGGCAGGGCGCCGGCATTCAGCGTGTAGTCAACCGCTCCGTGAAGCCATGGCGGTCTTTACACCCCGAGTTGGCGTCTGTAGGAGTCGCTTGGAAATTAGGGGACAGACACCTGGTGCAGAGAGTTAAAGCCCTCAGTTATTTTCACATGCCCGGGTACGGCCTCAAAGCAGTGCTGTAAATTTGAAAATTAGAATGGTAGGTTGGTTGGGGTTGGAAGGTGGACTTGTATCTGTTGTATCTGTCTCGGCACCAGAGCCAGATGAGCACATGCATTCATCCATCGGCGTGAGGCTCGAACCCGCTAAGGAAGCGAGGGTAAAGGCAGTGTCACCCAAAGTGCTGCCCGAGCTAACGAAAAATCATCGCTGCGCGCGACTGTTGCCGCATTCCAGTCCTATGGGACCACGAACCGTACGCGGGGTGTACCAAAGTGGAGGGGGGGGGCATGCGAACCGTGCCGCTGGGGGGCCTTCGGCGGAGCTCCCTATAGGGCCACGAGACATGTGAGGGGCGTGCCGAAGTGGAGGGAGGGGAGGCGGCATGCGAACCATGCCACTGGAGCCTTCGATGGAGCTCCCCGTGGGGCCACAAAAACTATGAGGGGTGTACCAAAATAGAGGGGGGGGCGACACGCGAACCATGCCACCGGGGCATTCGCTGGAGCTCCCTATGGCGCCACGAAGCGTCTGCGGGGTGTGAGGGGGGGGGGCGGCATGCGAACCATTTCACTGGGGCGTTCGGTGGAGCTTCCGGTGGGGCCACAAAGCGCGAAACGTGTGAGGGGTGTGCCGAATTGGAAGGGGGGCGGCATGAGCCGTCGGTGAAGCTCCCTGTTGGGCCACTTCGCGGAATAGTGTCGGAGCCTTTTTTAGTTTGGATCATCTTGAGGGTTCTTGGGGCCATGTCAGAGCCAATATAGGCCTTCTTTAGTTATCTTGAGGCCATCTTGGCGCCCATTGGAACGGTGTGGGGGCCGTTTCGGCGAGTCGTTTAAGGCCGTCAGCGAGTCTCTTGGGGCAGTCTTGGGCTCTTGGAGGCATATAGATTTATCAATAATCTCCACGAGGGATCGCTCTATAGTTTTCGCAATGGTTCGTGGCCGTAGAGCGCATACCCACGGTAACTCAACTTATCCCAGGACGGAGACTCAATGGGCGGATGCTTTGCGGAGCGCGCGGATGCCACCCGTATGAGCATCTAGCAATCTAGCGCAATTCTTTCGACTGTCCAATACAGCTGAGGCCTCCAGGGGGGCCGCCGCACTCGCAGAGCGGGAGTTACGGCGGGTCCCCAGGCCAGAATGAACACGCAGGTTTTGTAATCCGTGGGTGCTCGGGTGTATGGCTTCGACGAGAACCGGCACTGATCATTGCAATGTTGTTTGGAGCTGTCGTGGCGTCTTTTGGAGAGTCGGGCGATCGTGGGAGCCCTTGAGGGTTCTTGAGGGCACATGGGGCACGAAGAATATAAGGGGTGCACCAGCAAGTCATCGGTTTCAAACTGCTGGCGGCACGTCATCGGGCCCAGCTACTTTCTTGTTGGTATTGTTCTTCGTTGACGTCTCGACCTCTTCTAGAGAAAGGTATGAATACTTTGTGGCAAGGTCTCTCCAAGCATGTTTGTAGTCGTCGGCGCCCTGTCAGGAAATTGAATTCGCCACCGCACCTCCTCGACATTTGCTGCGAGAATGGCTCGTTCGGCCGATGCCTCGGAAAAACTCCCGCTTCAGTATTTCAGCCTGGCATGTGTTCGATAAGCACGTTCACGTAATTGTTTGACAGCTTCACAGGCCCGACCTACCAACAATGAATTTCACCAAGTCGAACGGTCTTTCTGAGCAATTGGCCGCACCAGCTTTCTGTTGTGACTATAAAAGATGTTGTCA